CTACTTTGACCGTGAGGAAATAAACTTCTCTTCGTTAAAACCATCCACTTGTGGTATTTCTGTTATGGCAGCACTAGATGACTAAGACAGAAGCCAAGTGTTTAACCACTGTGCCATCAAGGCTCCTTTATGTAAGTGCCAGTATCTATCAAAATCTTTGGCACAGAGTAGATGCTCAATAAATGCTTGCTGAATGAATAAGTATACTGTTAACTTCAGGTGTTATTGCAAGATCATATTCTTAATCCATTCTTTAAGTTCAATAATGCTTCCCTGGTCACAAATGCTTCAGCTAAAAAAAAAAAAAAAACACTACTCCACGCCGTTTCTTCTTCAAGTCTGACGTTCCTCCGTATTAGTGTTAGCAATCCTAAAAACCTGAAAGCCAGCGGCTGGCCTTCACTGCTGACTGATAGCACCCAACTGCCACCTTGATGGGCAGTTTTTCCAAACAGGAGATAGGACTAATGCAGAGTCTAAATCATCCACTTAGCAGTACAAGGATCAGGTGTTGCCAGAGGACTGGGACAACCCTAATGGTTTAAGGATTCTCTCCTGATCTCCAGGTCCATGCTGCACAATCTATTTTTAAAGTCTGCCTACAACATCTGTTGATTCTCTTAAGTGTTAAAATCTTACGGCCGAACATGGTGGGACTGAGGCAGTCATTTGTCTCCTAGATGAAATGTTGTCACTGCCCTGCCCCGTCCGTGCTCCCTAGCCAACGCTCACAGGCTAAGGCCTAACACAAGCACAGAAGTTAAACATTCTGACAACCGGTCTCTACCTCGCTTCATCTCAGGCTGCTCTTCCATCCACACGTTCTAAGCTCCAGGCAGAAGGACTCCTGAACACACCATGACACTTCGTCTCTGCAGAGCAAGGTCTCTCTCCTCTCTTCCCTGTTTCCCTAAAAACCAACCAAAACCAAAACCAAGCTGTTGAGTCAATTCTGACTCATAGCCACCCTACAGGAGAGGAGAACTGCCCCATGGGGTTCCCAAGGCTATAATCTTTACAGAAGCAGACTGCCATATCTTCCTCCTGTGGAGCGGCTGGTGGGTTCCAACTGCTGACGTTTCAGTTAGCAGCCAAGCACTTGACCACTGTGCCGCAAGGGCTCCTTCTGTTCCCCATCACACACCCTTCAAGACCCGTTCTCCTCTACCAGGGAGTCTTCGCAGACTGCCTCAGACACTTACAACCCTCAGAAGACAGTATTCCACGGCACAGTCACCGTCTGTTTTCTCTCTCCTCAATGGACTCTTTGTGGTCTTTGCCTGTCCTCCTAGTCTACACTTTGTGGTGTCTGGAAAGACCCATACACACAATGGAACAATCAACGTTCAAAACACATTCGTTGCATTAATCTCTCTCAAGACACTGTGCCAGACTGGCCCAGCATGACAGCCCTAAATATAAGATCACTCTCCCTAAACTACATACATCCATTATGCAAAAAACCACTGGACTCTTATGTCCAGATCCAAGTTTTCCGAAATAATACAGCAGTCCCCCTTTATCGAGGGAGATATGCTCCAACACCCCTCCGCGGATGCCTGAAACCATGGATAGTACCTAACTGTGTATATACTATGTTTTGTCCTATGCACACATACCTATGATAAAGCTGAATTCATAAATTAGGCACAGTAAGAGATTAACAACAATTACTAATAATAAACTAGTATAATTATAACAACATACTGTAATAAAAGTTCTGTGAATGACAGAAAGGGATGGCACAAGATTTCATCACACTACATATTCATTTAACATTTCTGGCCTGTGGCTGACCACGGGTAATGAAACTGTGGGTAAGGGGGGACTACTGTACACTCATTTTAAACTGAACACACATGCTGAATAGCTCACTTCTACCTCAGCAGTTCATGAAGCCCATTAACTACTCCCTCCTGATTCTACCAAGCTCCCCGCTGTCATTCTATCTAGAAATCGCTCTATGCTCGATGCGAAAGCTTGTTGTCATTACGTAGATACCTGTTTCCTGATCGGTTCCTTACCTTTCCAAGTTCAATCAACTGCTCTGCCCTGTGCCTGTTTTCTTCCTCTTTACCAGTAGACATTTTGTACAAATCACTTACATGGTAGAGGCTAATAGGAAAGGAGAACCTCCTCAAACCTGAAGTGTGACTTCTCAAAGGGAAAACTGACAACAAATCCAGTAGGAGCCAGCCTTCTTCTACTGAAAGGCAATGAGGCTACGAAATAACCGAAACCTAACAAAAGCTACCTCCTAGGTGGTGCAAGCGATTCAACACTCGACTACTAGCCGAAAGGTTGGTCATTCGAACACACCTAGAGCTACCATAGACACAGGCCTGGTGATCTGTTTCTGAAAGGTCATAGCCTTGAAAACCGTATAAAGCAGTTCTACTTTGCACACGTGGGGTCGCTATGAATTGGAATCGACTAGTCGGCAAGTAACAAGTCATTCCTTCAGAAGAGGACCATTCCTTATGCCATCTTCTCCACCACTGGTTTCCAAGCCAGTTCTGAAAATTCAAAGAGACCATCCCCTATGCCCACACCTGCTGGTTCTCTGGTTTGAAAGGTCGAAGGCCAGACTATGAGCTCCGAGGGGAGGGACTGGGTCCGTCTGGTCCACCACAGCATCCCAGGAGCCTAGCACACTACAGGCCCCAATTAACTACCTGCTGAATGAGCAAACGTGGGACATAGGTTATGCAAGGTTAGAAGCTTATCGAAGTGCTGCGTGTGAGAAAGTACAAAAAAGGCTTGCCGCTTAAAAGACCAGGAGTAAGTCACTGGTGGCCACAAGCTACAGTGGCTTTATTCTCAGATTCTGCCTCTGCCTGGGAGCTGGGTTTGAGAATTTCCTAGAACTTCTTTCCTTAAAGTTTGCAAGGCCTTGGTTGCAAAGAGGTAGTCAACCCCAAGAACAACTGATCACTCTGGTAGGTGGGGCAAGGGTGCACCCAGGCTGAGAGCCTACATTGCGCCAACAAATGGATCAGAATCAACAAAACCGAATACAAATCCTGCATTTCAGTGAGAAAAACCAAAGAGCAGGGAAGAGAAATGGGAGTAAAAGGAGAAACTTAAGTCACCAGAAGTCAGGAAAGAGAAGACGACGGGGCTGGAGGAATGAGAAAGAAGCCAGGATAGCACAGGTGTCGGTAATATTACTGATAGTCACCGCACCTAAGCACCTGTGCTAAGCACCTTCCATGCCTTGATTCAATCCTATCACCAAGCCACCGGTGGAAACGAAGCTCAGTGATCCCGGCAGGACGAAATGTAGGGCCAAGGGCGGAGTCGTCCACTTATTCATCTAACGAACACTTACTGAGCGCTTACTCGGTACGTGCCAAGGCCTGGTGCCAAGCGCTGGTGGGCAGATGCAGCGCCGGGGGGCTGGGAAAGGACAGGGGCAACATCAATCAAAAGACTAAGGTGCTTGGAGCCCGGGGCCAGGGTGGGGCAGAGAGGAAGGGCGGGCGTTGGAGGGGCGAGAGAAGACAGGGCGCGCAAGGCAGAGGGCCTGAGGATGGTGTCGGGGGACCCAGGCAGCCGAGGATACCAGCTCCCTCCGGCGACTGCTGACTCCAAGTCAGGCGGCGAGCTCGACGCTCCCATGTGCTATCGCATTTGGTCGTCTGGTCACCCCGCGGAAAGTCGGCGGACAGGGGAAATGGGCACAGGGCAGTGGAGACCCTGAGGGGGTGAGCGAAGTAAGGGTGCCCGGGGGTGCCGGCGGAGCGTGGGACAGCCGAAGAGGGGCGCGGGGCCGGGCGTCGCGGACTCACCTCCCGCGGTAGCCCCTCCGGACTCGTCGGCCCGGGCTGGCCCGAGGAGGCGGGGACGGGCTCGGCGCCGCGGGGACTGCCGGGAGTCCGTTCCCTAGCAACGGGGTTGGCACCGCGACCAGGAGCTGGCTCCCTCCCGAGGCTAGAGAGGCAGAGGCACAAGTGGCGGTGGGCGCGGCGGAAGTGACGATACCACGCTTCCGGCGGGCGTGGGCGGGGCTTCGGGTCTCATTCCCGGGATATCTGCTGGCGGCATGGAAGGTGCGTGATAGAGGCCGGTTGACCGGGGCGGGAAGGCTGCGAATGTTACGGCCGGGACCACGGACTGGAGCAGAGCCCGGGAGGCCCTCACAATTGAATGGGGGCCCGTGCGCTTGCCCCAGCCCCGGGTCGCTGCCCCCGGGCAGGCTCTGTAGTTTTCCTGGGAGCCAGTCGGATTTGCCTAGCCTCACTTTTTTCATATGTGAAGTGACAACGCGATGAGATGATGTCTGCAAAGGCTCTAGCAGAATTCCTGACGCTCCAATTGTAATTCTTGTCATTATAAATTAGCATTAGCGGAGCAAGTCCGGTGCCAAGCCTTCTGTGCTAAACTCCTCCAGAAATCCTTCTCTGAGCTCTCTCAATCAGGAGAACTTGCCGTAGTGCATTCTGTTTATAACAGAAGTTATCATTCAGCGGGTGCTCACTTTGTGCCGAGTAGTGTTAAAAAGCACTCCCTGGAAACTCTATGAGGTAGTTCTACTCTGTGCTATTAGGGTCGCTATGAGTCGGAATCGACTCGACAATGGGTTTTTAGTGTTTAAGGTACTTTACATGCATCAGCTCATTTGAGCCTCACAGCCATCAGCCCCGTTTTACAGATGAGGAAGCTGAGGCTCGGTGGGGTTAAGAAACTTTTCCGTGCTGTTAGCCACTATAGTTAACCTCACTCTGCCCTGTGTTGTGTGACTCTGATTACTGGTCTCTTTCCCTACTAGCCTGTGAGTTTCTTGAAATCAAAAACCATGTCCTGTTTTCATTTCGTAAATATGTGCCTGATGTTGGGCGGACAGGATGAATCAGAGGTAGCCGTTGCCCTCATGGAGCCCTCATTAGGGGAGAGAAACCTTTAGACACAGTACAGGCGGGAAGAGTGATTTCTCCATTTAACACATTTTACACAGTATCTACAGCCTGCTGAAGGTATAAGCGGGGACACAACCGACAGTTCCTATCCCGGTGGAACTTACAGTCTAGGGGAGGAGACAGACGTTAAACAAGCAAGTACTCTGCACTGGTGAGTCTTACAACAATGGGAGTATAGGCTGCTCCAGAAATCTAGTGCAGTGAGTCCCAGCCGAGCCTGAGGGATCCAGAAAGGCTTCTTTGTGGAAGTGACTTTAAAAACACAAATCACATCATGTCAAGTCCGTACTCAAAGCCCATTGTTCACTTTCCATTATACTTAGAATGAATCCAAACGTTTTATCTTACCCAATTAGTTTCTGAGTTGACTGATTTCCTCTTCACCAACCACTCCCTCCCTCCCCATTTTATTCTAGCCACACTGGTCTTTTTCCGCTTTTCAAACTCACCACCAAGCTCTCACAAGAGGGCACATACACATGCCTTTGCCTCTGCCTTTCCTCTTCTGCCTTCTCATCATTCAGGTCTCAGCCTAAATGATACCTCCTCAGAGGGTTATTCTAAAACAGGCCCTATTTTCCATGTGACCCCGTGTTCTGAATTGATCATGATCATTAAATTGTTTGTTATCCGCCTCCCCCTTAGAAAGTAAGTTCCACACAATGGTCTCAGTCAGCCTTGTTCAGTCACTTCATTCCCTGTGCCTGGCATATTGTAGGCACTCAGGAAACGTTTATTATTTGTCTACGTGAAAGACTGAAGGAAAATTCAATATGAAGCAGTGAGCGAGTGTTTACTGTGATGGAAAACTTGGCGATTGTGGGTGATAGTTGCATGACATGATTAATGTAATTGGTATCACTGAACTGTACAGCTGAAAAATGTTGAATTGAGAGATGTTGTGTTACATATATTTTTTTACAACACTTGAAAAAGTCCTATAGAGCAGAGTTCTACTCTCTCACACATAGGGTTGTCACGAGTCAGAGTTGACTCGATGGCAACTGAACTGGTTAAAGTATTAATCAAATGTTGTTGTGAGGTGCCATCGAGTTGATTTTCAACTCATAGTGCCACAGTAGAACTGCCCTATAGGGTTTAGTAGGCTGTACTCTTTGCAGGAGTAGATAGCCAGATCTTTCTCTCATGGAGCCGCTGGGTAGGTTTGAACCACCAGCCTTTCGGTTAGCAGCTGAGTGCTTAACTGTTGTACCACCAGAGCTCCTTAATCAAATATTAATAACTTATTAATGCAATGAATTAATGCATACAATGTTGCCAGGGGTAGGGGAACCAATATGATACTTACGAGCTGAGCCCTCAAGGATACTGGGAGTAAACTAGGTGAGTGGAGGCACACACTGACAGGAAGAACATTCCAGGTCAAGGCCAGAACTTGTGCAGAGCCAGAGCTGAGGCACAGACAGCAAGTGGGAGAAGATGACACTAGAGAAGTGACGGGCAGGGCTCAGGTAATGGAGGTAATGTGATAATAGGTAATGGATTGGGTGCTTACTATATGCCAGCTCCCCACAGTTTTAAGTATCTTATCTAATCCTCACAACACCACTATGAAACAGTTATTATTTTTATCCCCATTTTAAAGATGAGAAAATTGAGGCTCTGAGAGGTTGACTGACTTGCCCGTGATTGGGTAGCTAGCGCTGGCAGACCTGGGATTCAAACCTAGCCTGGTCTTTCAGAGTCTAGACCCAACCATCCAGCTGTTCTGTGTCCTGGATTCCTTAACAGCCTTTTACGGAAGTAAGAGTTTATCTGTGGGTAGTGAAAAGCCTCTGGAGAGTTCTAAGTAGAGAAGGAGAGAGGGCACAGGACAGCTGGGGAAGCACAAATGGCCTGAGTTGGCTTCTGGTGGTCCGGGGAGCTTCCCACAGGGTGGGATGTCAGTCCTGGAGAATGTGCAGCATTAGCCTGATGAAGGAAAGAGCCTTCCAGAAAGAGGAACTGCATGTACAAAGGCCTACATGCTACTTAGCTTTTCAAAAGCTGCCAGTAGTTCATTTTAGCTGGAGATTGAGGGGGGAACTCTGGGCAGGGGTTGAGATAAACGCTGAGGCAGAGAGGTAGCCGGATCTTGTTTGGATGTCATCCTGCGTTCTGAGCAGGGCAGTGGCAGATAGAGATTGTCTGTGCTTCTAGGGTGTACCCATCACTGTCTGGGAATGATGAGCCCTCAAGATCCACAGAACTCTGAACAAATGTCAGGTGTCCAAGTGTCTGGGGCCAGTGAGTGGGTATCCACTAAGGAGTGGGGGCTTTATCTAGCAGGATCCAGACGAGAGCCATGGAAGTGCTTTAGCAGAAAGTCACACCTTTACCTTATTTCTAGCCTTTGAAAATGGCGAAAGTGCTTAAGGCAAAAACTTTGTGGAGTCATTAAGCCACCTTCAGCAATACCTGGTGAGTCTTTAAATGCAGATGAAGTTCTGTTTTGTCTCGTTCCAGGAAACAAACTTTTACTTTTCACCCAGACATCTCGGTTCCCACCATGTTTGTCTAGTTGGTGTAACATTTCAAATAGTTTCACTGTTGAACGTTAGGAAGACATTTGCCCTCTAACTATGATCTTTATATAAAATTTATTTTGTTGTTATTGAGAATATACACAGCAAAACATGCCCCAATTCAACCATTTCTACATGTACAATTCAGTAACAGCCATTACATTCGTGTTGTGCAACCATTCTCACCCTCCTTTTCTGAGCTGTTCCTCCCCCGTTACCATAAGCTCACTGCCCCCTAAGGTTCCTATCTAACAGTTAGAGTTGGCTGTTGTCAGTTTGATCCCATATAGATCTTAAAAGAACATAATGCTCAAGGCAGCCTCCAACTATGATCTTAACGTTTCATAATAATTGTTTCTTTTACTCTGTATCAGCAAAGGCACTTGGAGTTGCAACTCCCAGAAAACCTGTTTTATCTGTCAGTGCAAGAAAAATTAAGGACAATGCAGCCGATTGGCATAATTTAATCCTGAAATGGGAATCCCTCAGTGATGCAGGTTTTGCTACTGCAAACAATATTGCCAACCTGAAGATCAGTTTATTGTAAGTATGTATAGAGTTCCTCACACACTGAGCTCATCACCTGTAAAGATGGGGCAGAAGTTTTGTGGGAGTCTTTTAGAGTGAAAGGGTGATCTGTAGTTATCAACATGGACAAATTAAAAGATAAAATATTGAGCAAAAAAAGGAAGTGGTAAAATGATACCTGCTGTATGAACTGTATATGTTTATGTTTTTAAACATGAAGTATTATGACATATTCATGGTTACATCTCTGTATAAAATTATAAAACTAGATTGGAAGGACACATGCTCAAGTCATGAGAGCGGTAGCTCGGGGAAGAATGGGTATTGGGGTGGTAGGTAAGGAGACTTCATCTTTAGCTGTAATGTATTTCATTTCTTACAAGAAGACGAATTAAGAAAAAATGTTAGCAAATGCCTTTTCTGGTTGGAGACTTTGCTTTATTATTCTTTGCATGTATATATATGTACAGTATGGTTAAGAACTTGGTTCCTAACCAAAAGGTTGGCCCTTTGAATCCAGCAGCCACTCCTGGGAAACCTTATGTGGCAATTCTGCTCTGTCCTGGAGGGTCACTATGAGTCAGAATTGACTCAACAGCCACGAGTTTTTATATATACATACACAGATATATATATACACACATATACAAGCAGTCCCCAGGTTACGAATGTCTGAGTTACTTACACCTCGTAGTTATGAACCAACCCCCATAAAGCCTGTATTAAAAATTCGAGGTACATACATGGTTCATAATAACAAATGGGCGATACTTTGCAATGTGTATCAAAACATTATTACTGTATTATGACGTTAAAGATATTTTAGTGTATCTGGAAGTGTTTCGTTAATATTTTTCATGTATAGAAAGGTACACTACATACTAAGACAAACATCTGACTAACTGACGTTAGATACAAACCGTACCTAACTGTTCAAACTTATGTACAAATTTGCCTTAAAGACAGCATTAGGAACTCATTCATAATCCTGGGACTTCCAGTATATATACATATACATACATACATATGTATATGCAAAGAATAATATATGTATTTAAAATATATAAAGTCCCTGGGTGGTGCACATGGTTAAGTGCTCAGCTACTAACCAAAAGGTCACAGCCATGAAAACCCTATGGAGCACAATTCTGCTCTGCAACACATGGGGTCACCATGAGCCAGAATTGACTAGACCACAACTGTTTTAATATTTATGTAACTTTAATATCTATAAATATATACATGTATAAATTTTATTTTCTCAAAATCATAAGTAAAAAAAAAAAAATCCTCTAGCTTACCTTTGTCTATAGAGCAGAGTCTTAATTCCTTGGCATCAGCTCCTGGCTCTTGCCAACCTGTTCTCAAGACATCGCCTCCGACACAGCATGCACTTTCAGCCCCTGCTGTCTTTTCCTTGTGGAATCCCGCTCAGCAACTTCCATCAAACAATTCTTACCCTTACTATATGTGACACTCTCCAGAATTTTCTATTCTGTTTTAATCTGTTTATTCTTTTACTGAAATGTTGATTGTGACCCCATTAGATGTACTTCCTGCCCCATGGGTCACAGCCTTCAGTTTAAGCAACAGATTCCTACATGGTCAAGTCCTTGAGGCCGGTGTCCATGTTTGTGTGCCCCAGCACTGTGCCTGACTCCAGCAATGCCACATGTTGGCAGAACTTAATTGACTTATCCTAATGCATGTATGTAATTAATAAGTAAACATTTATTCTAATGGCATGAAACAACAGTGCTAACACAAAATGTCTGAAGTAATGATGTGGATAGTGAGTTTTTTCGGATTTATCATAACAAAAGGAAGCAAGTGAGCTTCAAGAGTATACTTTGTTCTGTTCTTTTCTGTTTTGTCCAGGAGTAAAGACAAGATAGAGTTAGAGAGCAGCAGCCCAGCTTCCGATAAAAATGAAGAGAAGCCGTATCCGGAATGTAATAAGGAACTCGAGATGCTGTGTGAGGAATTGCAGGCCACCTTGGATGGGTTGGTAAGCTCCAAACGTTCTGGCCTCCAGTCATCATTGCTGAGTCTGATGGACACATCTGGGGTTTGCTTGACGGCTCAGCAGCACTGAGCTGCCGGCGAGTCTGTCCTTCTCCAGGTCCTTTCTTCCTTTGGCTTCCCATTTGTTTTCTTCCCTCCTCTGCCTCCTCTGCTGGTCTCCCTTCCTCTGCCTGTCCCATAAACCCTGATGTTCCTCAAGATGCTGTCCTAGAACCTCTGCTTCTCCTGTCCAGGCAGTGCCTAGGGCCATTTCACCCACTTCTGGGGCTGGGGCACCCCCTCTGTGCTGCTCACCCCTAGATCCGTAGAGCCCAGCACACCCCGAGCTGCCACTGTGTCTGATCAGCTGCCTGCTGGATGCAGCCACTCAGACGGCTCTCCTTCGTGCACTGCATATGCAGAATGTCAAATGAGTTCCGAGCTCCACCTGCCACCGGCCTGTCCCTCTGTCTTTGTAAATGGCACCATCACCTGCCCAGACGTCAGCACCAGAAGCTAGGAGCCATCCTTGGGTTCTTGCTCTCACCTCACCATTACTCACCACGCCCTGTGGCTCCTCTCCTGAATATTTTTAAATCCAGCCACTTCTGTCTACGTCCACACTTCCTAAGCGGCCTCATGCTGTCCAGGCTCGCTCTCTGTCATGCTTTCTTCGAGGTCCACCAGGATCCAGCCCCTGCGTACTTTCTGGCCTGTTCTCTCACCACTCTCCTCCCAGCTCCAGCATAGCGTACGAGCCTCTAACAACCTGTCTAGTTTCCTGGGGCTGCCCTAACAAATACCACTAAGTGCATGGCTTTACATAACAGAAATTTATTGTCTCAGAGTTCTGGAGGCTCAAAGTGAGAAATGAGGATATTAGTGGTATTGATTCCTCGTGAGGCTCTGAGGGAGAGTCTCTGTTCATGCCTCTCCCCTAACTTCCAATGGCTCCCAGCAATCCTTGGCGTTGCTTGGCTTGTCGCTGTCTGCCTCTGTCGTCACATGGCATCCTTCTATCTGTCTCTTCATGTCTCTTCTCCTCTTTGATTGGGACCCACCTTACTCCATCTCCAAAGACCCTATTTCCAAATGGGGTCACATTGACAGGTACCAGAGGTTAGGACTCCAACATACCGTTTTGAGGGACACAGTTCAATCCATCCCACACCCCCTTGCTTACTGACTTTTGGGCCTGTGTCTTCTGTAAGGGGCCCTTTCTCCACTTTTATCTGACCCCTCGCTCCTCCAGGTCTAACTGAGGCACCACTGCCAGAGGGAAGCTACCTTGAACCTCAGGATAATTTGCTTCTCAAAGCACTCAGTGCTTTCATAATTGAAGGATCCATCCCAGTTCCTTGTTGTGACTTATTTAATATCTCATCCTGCCCCTTGGGAGGAGTTGTTCCGCTAGCACAGGGGTTGGCAGACTTTCTCTGTAAAGGGCCAGAGAGTAAATATTTTGGTTTCTGCGGACTCTACCATCTCCATTACAACTGTTCGACTCTGCAGAACAGCAGGAAAGCAGCCACAGGCAATACATAAACGAGTGAGGCCGCGTTCCAATAAAACTTTATTCATGGATGCGGAAATTTGAATCTCATGTAACTATCACGTGTCACGAAATATTCTTCTGTTTTTTTTTCAACCACTTAAAAGTGTAAAAACCGTTCTTAGCTAGCAGGTCATACAAAAATAAGTGATGGGCCTGATTTGGCCCACGGGCCGTAGGTTGCCAGTCCCTGATCTAGCACATAAGACAGTAAGTGTGTGGTGAATGAATTAATGACTGAATGTTCAGCACCCACCATGCCAGCCACCAAACATGGCTATAGCAACACCTCCTATCTTTGCCAGGCACAGGCAATCAGGTTTGTTCATATTTCAACTTGGATAGCTGAAGCTTGCCTGCAAATATACAAGATCTTTACATTTTAACCTTTTTTGATGAACATGTTTTTAATGCTTCACATGCTTCCTTGCCTTTTTAAACAGAATATGCCCCACCGAATTGCATTTCTCTAAGATACCACTTACTCAGTGTGATGATTTCAACAGTTATAAGATGGCAGGTTTAGAAGAGCTTTTCAGGAAAGAAACACCACCGTATTGAATATCACATCAATTGTAAGATGCGTAACGGTTTCAGAAGCACTAACATTTTCAGAAAAAAAGTGTACATTTAGGACATTTGGATAATTTAACCTTTTCTTTGTGACTGAAATGCAGTACTGTCTGCTGGACTTTTTGAGTTTATGATGCCGTTTGACAGACTTTCTGACTTCTCTAAGTTGTTAATTGCCATTGAGTCAGCTCTGACTCATGGTGACCCCACGTACAACAGAGTGAAACATCGCCCAGTCCTGCGCCAGCTTCACTGTTGTTGGTCTGCTTGAGTCCATTGTTGCAGCCACTGTGTATTCTGAGTACCCTCCAACCTAGGGACTCACCTTCCAGCACTATATCGGATAATATTCTATTGTGATCCATAGGTTTTTCATTGGCTGATTGCTGGAAGTAGATCACCAGGCCTTTCTTCCTAGTCTTAGTCTGGACGTTCCGCTGAAACCTGTCCACCATGGGTGACCCTGCTGGTATTTGAAATACTGGTGGCATAGCTTCCAGTGTCACAGCAACACACAGGCCACCACAGTATGACACATGGACAGATGGGTAGTGGTTTTTGTAATTGTCCTGTCTGCTTTCTGTGCTTCTGCCTTCCCCTTTTGCCTTGGGGGGTATGCTAAGAAACACTTGCCCCACTGCCCAGCCTCCTCACCTCGACCCTTAAGTCGATACCATACCTTTATTCTGAGCACCACTCGTAGGCAGGCCGAGGGTTGCTTGGTGCCTTTTCTGTGGGATAAGGTGTGTGTGCTTCGTGATAACTTGTTTTATCTCCGTACTGACATCTGTGTCTCAGGTAAGTGAGTTCTGGATGTAGGACCTCTGGAGCCGGGGGGAATTAACATAGGTGGAATGATCAATTGAAATTTACATAGTAAATAATGATCAATTGAAAATGGGCCACTTGTATTTTTTCCCAAATTCACCCATTTGATTATGTCAAATACTTTTGTTTGGGCAAAAAAGTCAATGTACATGTTATTCCTGAAAGAGACGAGACTGGGTGGTTAAGCTTCCATATTGAAATAATCTAAACAGCCAACAGAGTTGATGACACTTGGTCCAGAGTTGCTTGGCCCAGCCGATTAGATGTAGGCACTGATCAATGACCGTCATCTCCACATGTCACCAGCTCCCACCAGAACCTCTCACACTTGACCCACTGTCTTCCTTTCTGGTATAAGACATTTCACAGAATCCTGGAACTGTGTTAAGGTGAAAATGCTTTTGACACAAACTGATGTGACTTTTATAAACTGTAAAAAAAAAAAAATCCTGGAAAGGATTTTGTTTTTAAATGCCATTTGGCTCTTTTTAGATCACATATTCTAATTTACAACTCAATACATTTACACACAACATTAGGAGAAGTGTTTAAAGAGAGGCGGGACGATGGGGAAGATGAGAGGAGTCTTCAATTTCAGGCTTGACAGGATGGATGGATGGATGGATGGAGAGTGGATGGATGGATGGAGTGTGGATGGATGGATGGAGTGTGGATGGATGGATGGTGGATGAATGGATGAAGAGTGGGTGGATGGATGGAGTGTGGATGGATGGATGGAGTGTGGATGGATGGATGGAGTGTGGATGGATGGATGGATGGAGAGTGGGTGGATGGATGGTGGATGAATGGATGGAGAGTGGATGGATGGTGGATGGAGAGTGGATGGGTGGATGAATGGAGAGTGGATGGGTGGATGAATGGAGAGTGGATGGGTGGATGAATGGAGAGTGGATGGATGGATGGAGAATGAATGGACGAATGGGTGGATGGAGGGATGGATGGATGGAAGATGGATGGTGAGTGGATAGATGGAAGGATGGATGGAGAGTGGATGGATGAATGGGTGGATGGAGGGATGAGTGGATGGAGGATGGATGATGGATGGATGGATTTTGCTTGTCCATCCATGCTTCTCCCCATTCTTTTTTTTTTTTAATTAATCTTCCTTTTTTTTAATTGTTGTGAAAATACATATATAACACATTTGCTAATTGAGCGTTTTTCAGGTATACAATTTAGTGACCCCAGTTACATCAGTCATGTTGTGCAGCCATCACCAGTATCCCTTGCCAAATTTGCTTGATTGATTTTGCCATCCATTCTGAAGTGGCAGTCTGGTACCATGGGACTCCTTCCTCAGCCCCACTGACCACCACTGAGGAGGGACGACCTGGGAGAAGCACCTCATATGGTAGGAGGTGGAGTCACAGTCCAGGAAACCCAGCAAACAGGCTTGGTGGACTGAGCAATACCAGGTGAAATGTGGGGGCCTGCCGTTGGGTCCCCACCCTGTAGCACAGGTCCTGGAAGCAGCTGATGGTTTGGGCTCATGGAGATCCTGAGATCATCCTAGAAAGCCTGTGTAACCCTGGTGGCATTAATGAGAGCCAAGGAGGTGGCATCTCCACCCTACCCCTGGGCAGGCCCCTAGCAGGCAGTGTGACTTGTGGGGCTCCCTTCAACACGGTGGAGGCAGAGCGCAGGCGCACGCTCAGAGGGGACTGGTGGTGAGCGAGGGGACAGGGTCATGTCGGAGGGAAGTCGGAGGAACTGGTTTTAGCCTAGAAATGCAGAAACCAGTGCATGTAACAGCTGCCATCACAGCCAAATGGCTGTCAGAGGACAGAAAGCTGGAACGCTGGCATTTGAGGTCTCGGAGCGGGGAGATGAGGCGCTTGGGTGCTCCCAGCTTTGGCTCACACCAGAGAACAGCTCAGTGAGTAAGTCCAGAGCTGGAAAGGGCTCCTGGAAGGTGGCGTGTTCTCCTCACTGGGAATGTGCCCCACAGGCGGGGCAATTACCTGGTGGGTTTCTTACAAAGATCATTCTAGAATTGATTCCTGGGGAGTCCCTGGGTGGTGCAAATGGTTAATGCACTAGGCTGCTAACCAAAAGGTTGGGCCCTGACGTGCCTCAGAAGAAAGGCCAGGTGATCTACTTCTGAAAAATCTGCCATTGAGGACCCTCTGGAGCACATTGCTACTCTGACATGTGGCGTCGCCATGAGTCAGAATTGACTCAACAGCAACTGAAAAACTATTTTTTTAAAAAAAGGATTAAAAAAAACGATTCCTAGGTAGAACTAGACCAACGGCCACAAATTCCAGCCATTCCTACACGTACCTCACAATTTTTATCATATCTTGTGTTATTAATATTTTTCTGTAATAGTGAAAACAAAACCCTGCCATAAAAATTGTAGCTGAAACTGCCCCCCCGTTCCGTGTGATGTGAGAGGCAGGCGAGTGTGCGGCTTGTCATCACAAGCCCTGGAAGAGGACTGAGTGAGACAAGGCAGGAAGGAGGCCTCACCTCATGGCTCTGGGTTCCTCACGCCGTGACCGACGCCCCCCGTGTGCACCCCTCACTTTAGAAAACAGTGGACTACGTGGTCTCTAAGGCCTAACACCAGCTTCCTATGCCACTGAAGTTTTTTTTTTTAACTAGTAGATTTTATTTTTGAGAACGGTCTTAGTTGTACCGAGAAATGGAGCCGACAGTGCAGCATTCCTATAAACTGCACCCAGTCTTCCCTGTTATTAACATTGTACACTAGTGTGGTAATTTGCCACAACCAATGAATCGATATTGATCCATCATACTTTATTCAGCTCTCCATCGTTTCCCCTAACTTCCTTTGTCTGTCCCAGGAGCCCACATCACATTCAGTCGTATGTCTTCTTAGGCTCCGGTTGGTGTGACAGTTTCTCAGACTTTCCTTGTTTTTGATGACAGTTTTGGGAGCCCCTGGGTGGTGTAAATAGTTAACACGTTTGGCTGCTAACCAAACGGTTAGCTGTTCCGAGTCCACCAAGAGGTGCCACGGAAGAAAAGACCTGGCAATCAACTGCTGAAAAATCAGCCATTGAAAATGCTGTGGAGTGCAGTTCTACTCTGCACACATGGGGTCCCCCTGAGTTGGAATTGACTTGATGGCAACTGGTAAAATACTACTTAAATCTGCAACACTAGAGTTATTTCACCTATTTATTTAACAAATGCTTAGAGAACTCCAGCTAGATGCCTCAGAAATACTAACTCATTTAACCTTAGCCTCAGGGAAGCTGGCACTTGGTTATTCTCTGCTGCCTTGTCTGCACTGTGGGGATGATACTAGTATCCGCCCCACATTGCTGTGCAGATAATGCAGTTACGGGGCTGAGCCCAGAGCCTGGCATCATGATTTCCTTCCTCTGGAGCGTGTAGGGCTGCCTTCTGTCGTTACCATTTTACAGCTAAGGAAACCAAGGCTCCAGAGGTTTCCGTAAACTCATGAGCAGTCAGTAAAAGCGAGTCAGAAGCACACTCCTTATCTAATGCCTTTTCTCTCTTTTATTTCACAAAAACAGCAAGAGCCAGCAGCACCGGGGTCCCTCCCAGTCTCGGGGGCAAAAAATCAGTGCTATTCGGAAATCTGAGCGCAGCCGACTCAGCAAGCTTTCCCTTCCCTTCCCTTTGGGGGTTTATTGCTTAAGAAATCCAGCTTAATGAAGTCATAGCAGCTCCACCCCCATCTCCCTTGAAATTTGCTACACATAGAGTTAATGATGCTTGGTCTCAACAGATGTACACTTGTTAGCTTTGAAATCGTACAGTTATTGACTCTGAGGCTGGAGTAAATTTCAAGTAATATTTTCATATTCCAAATTAATATCTTTTCAGACCAAAATACAGGGGAAAATGGAAAAGCTGACTTCAACCACCAAAGGCATTTGTGACCTAGAAAATTACCATTACGGAGAGGAGAGCCAACGGCCACCCCTGTTTCACACGTGGCCCACCGCCCATTTTTGTAAGTAGTTCTTTCTGCATCGATTTTCAGGGGTTAGAGATCATAAGAGCATTTGGTATCATTTACATCCAGTGCCTTAAGAAACTGACAAGGCTTTGGAATTCAACTCAAGAGGATCCATTGGGAGGGAAAGAGATAGCGGCATCTTAAAAATGAGCATCTCTTCTTGGATTTAGTTACCTAGTAAGGAGTCCGAGTCCCTGGGTGGTGCAAATGGTGAACATGCACTGGGCTGATAACCGAAAGGTTGGAGGTTTGAGTCCACCCAGAGGCACCCTGGAAGAAAAGCCTGGCAATCTGCTTCCCAAAAATCAGCCACTGAGACCCCTATGGAGCTCAGTTGTACTCTGATACATACCGGGTTGCTGGGAGTTGGGGTCAACTTAACAGCAACTGGTCATCAATACTAAGTGCAATTAGAGACCCATCAAGCATGGTGCCATTATTAACCCTTTAAGCCAGTGGACGGAATGAACACCACCGCCTTTGTAGGGACAGAAATATTACCATGTTTTTTGGGAGCAAGAAAGGTTTTTTGTTTGTTTTATTAAAAGTAAATTGAGGTCACTTCAGCCAGCCCCTGAGAAGAAGACTGTTGGGAGAAATGGAACTCACTATTCAAATGAACTCTCTGAGACCCTTCCAGAGGGGTTACTCTTAGCTTTATCAGCCCAAAAGAAGGGCTAAGCCAAGGATTAGATAGGCCCATGAAACAAAACGAGACTAAAGGGGCACACCAGCCCAGGGGCAAGGACGAGAAGGCAGGAGGGGACAGCTGGTAATAGGGAACCCAAGGTCAAGAAGGGGAGAGTGTTGCCATGTTGTGGGGTTGGCAACCAATGTCATAAAACAATATGTGTTCTAATTGTTTAATGAGAAGCTAGTTTCTTCTGTAAAACTTCATCTAAAGTACAATAAAAAATAAAAAAGGGGGCTAATCTATTTGATGTTGATTTGAGACTTCCCTTTTTAAATAAGGGAGAAAAGGATAAAATCTCCTGATGTAATATGTTTATTGAAATATTGTCAGTTTGATAGGAATCTACTATTGCAGGTCACCTAAGAGTTCCGTTGAAAAGGTTGTATTTCATTTTAACTGTGTGATCCTTACCCTGTTATCTAATTCTCCTACTCTGCACCAGCTGGAGTGATAAAGACCCACCTAGTTCTTCTCTACTTCAGCGTTGTTGCAGATTCTGGCTTTTAACAAGGCGCTTCTAACAGGGTCGGTTCACCTCCAGCCAAAAGCACTTCCTTGATTATTACCGTAAAGCCTTAACATTTATTTCGGCGGGCAGCAGTCATTTAGTGGTAGAATTCTCACCTTCCATGCCAGAGACCCAGGTTCAATTCCCGGCCAAGTCACCTCATGCACAGCCACTACACCTCTGTCAGTGGAGGCTTGCATGTTGCTATGATGCTGAACAGGTTTCAGTGGCAGTTCCAGACTAGACAGACTAGAAAGAAAGGCCTGGTGATCTACTTCTGAATGTCAGCCAGTGAAAACTCTGTGGATCACAGTAGTCCGATCCCCAACCGATCATGGGGATGGTGCAGGGCTGGGCAGTGTTCCGTTCATTGTGCATGGGGTCACCATGGGTCAGGAGCTGACTCCACTGCAGCTAACAGCAGTGACACGTTTTCTTGCAGATGCGGTTTCCCGCAGGCTCTCGGACATGTACAGGAAGGAGCTGCTCCTGAAGCGCACCATTGTCGAGGAGCTGGCGCACTCCTCGGACCACGACCTCGCCCTGAGCTACCTGTCAATGTGGCTGCACCAGCCATACGTGGAGAATGCCAGCCAGCTGCTTCTGGAAGGCATGCTGCTCGAAACAGGGCACCGAACACTGTGACCCCAAAACAGCCTCGCTTGTGAGGGCCACCTCCAGCCGCTGGACCATTTGCTGCTCCTGCATCTCCCAAAGTGGACAGGCCAGGATCCCCTTCTCCCATGCAGGCTGCACTGCCATGTCCATGACTCCTCAGGGTCTTCCCGACTGGCTGTCCCCCAGCTCCCGTGCTCTGTCCCCATGCTTGCTGTGCACCGAATGCTGCTGCAGGCCGCCCCCATCTAGGGCCATCGCACACAGCATCACCTGCTTCTCTGGTGATCTGTCCCAGAGTGCTTCTGAGTGAAATAAATGAGTTCCTGAGCACAGCGAGTGAGGGATACTGTTTTTGTAAACTGGGTATATTTTACATATTACGTTTGCACAGAAAATCCCTGGCTTAACGTTTTTATCTGATATGTGTCTGTACTATTTAAATTTTTATGATGTTAGTTTTGTAGTTACAACTAATTTTTAAAATACTGTGGCATTAACCAAGAAGACTGGCATCACAGAAATGAAAACTACCTACAAAAAAATTGCCTCTTTGTACACTGGGGACAAGTGAGGCCAAGCAGAGAATCTTCATGTTATTATTCTGGCACAAAGCTTATAGTCTGGCACATTTTTGCAACCATTTCCATGGTTAACATTATTTTGTTAGAATAAGGGAAAACATAACAGTTTTGAAACAGACTGAAGAGGCTGGTTGAAAATTACGGTATGGATAAAATACTAAGCTACACAAAAGCCTGCTTTGAACTATGTTCTTTTCTGTGGCATTGCTTGTTATATGGTTTCTTCATCTGTGTTTGCCTTGTTCCAATTCCTTGGGGCTGTCTACACAGTCTGGGGCTGTCTACATTAATACATAACAGTTTTTAATCATGTGACCCCATGGATGGACAAGTTTTAGCTTTTTAATGTTTAGCCATTATGTATATCACTTATCTATGTTTATCAAGACTATGTTAACTTTAATTCACTCAGCAAGGACTTAAATGTGTAGAATTTATAGCCAGAAGAACCTCAGAAAACTACTACTACTTCTAACCCCTTGTTATGGATTGAATTGTGTCCCCCAAAAGGATATGCTGAACTCCTAACCCCTGTATGCTTGTGAACATGATCTTGTTTGGGGAAACAGGGTCTCCCTTCTGAGTGGTGTCTTTTAAGTGAGGAGATCAGACATGGAGAGAGCCACATACACAAGAGGAAGAGACCATGTGACAGATAATCCTTACATGTAGTCTTCCCTGTATGTGTGTGTCTGTGTGTCTATTCTGATCTTTTTATAATTTGGAAGTGATTAGGTTTAGGATCCACCCTATACTAGTATGACCTCAACTGACTGACTGATTAGATTACATGAGATTACATCCCGGAAGTAATTACATTACAGAAGATCATCTCTCCCAAGACCAACTGATTTAATCACATGTAACCACTCCATGACAGCAACTAGTGTTTGGCCAAACCACTGGGAGCCACAGCCTAGACAAGTTGACACATAACATTAAACCATCACAGGGGAGTTCTTAAAGGATAAGTGCTCTTCAGAGGAGACACTGAAGAACTCCAACCAGGCCTTTGTAGGATATTTCACGTGCTCTTGATGATGCGGCGCCTGACACCCATCAGCGAGTCCCCAGGAGAACTAAGGGGAAGGAGTGATACTGCTAAGGACAAACAGAAGTAAAAAGGCTAAACGAAGAACCAATTACCCAGCGCCATTCACCCAGAGATCCCTCACAAAACAGAAGAGGCACCAGGTTAACAGAAGAGACCTCTGGTGGCTGAATTTGCTAATTCCAAAGTCATTACACACTGTGGAAGTGAGGAATCTGCACGTTGAACAGAACAGTTTCTATCAAAAGGGATAATTAAACAGTCAAAACAGATACTGGGCTCCTAGTTAAACACAGGAATCCCTGCGTGGTGCAAACAGCTAATGCACTCAGCTGCTAACCCCAGGCCGTGGGTTTGAGTCCACCCAGAGGCTTCTCGGAAGATAGGCCTGGCAATCTGCTTCTGAAAAACCAGCCATTAAAAATCCTACGGAAATAGAACAAAAGAAAAGAATCACATGATCATCTCAATCAACACAGAAAAAGCATGTGATAAAGTCTAACACCCATTACTGATAAAAACTCTTAATAAAATAGCAGTAGAAGGGAAATTCCTCAGCATAATAAAAGCCATCTCTACAAAACCAACACCTAACATCATTCTCAGTGGGGAGAGGGTGAAAGCATTCCCCCTGAGAACAGGAACCAGAGAGGATGTCCTTTATCTCCACTCCTATTTAACATTGTGCTGAAAGTCCTAGCTAGAGCAGTAAGGCACAAAAAAGAAATAAAGGGCATGCAAATTGGAAAGAAGAAGTAAAACTATCCCTATTCACAGATGATGTAATACTATACATAGAGAACCCCAAAGACTCCACAAGAAAACTACTGGAACCAATAGACTCAGCAGAGTAGCAGGATACAAGATCAACATACAAAAATCAGTTGGATTCTTATACACTAACAAAGAGAACTTCAAAAAGGAAATCAGGAAAACAATACCATTTATAATAGCCCCTAAAAAGATAACACACTTACGGAAAAAAATCTAACCAGGGATGTAAAAGACCCATACAAAAACAACCCTACAAAATACTACTGCAAGAAACCAAAAGAGACCTACATAAATGGAAAAACATATCATGCTCATGGATAGGAAGACTCAACATTGTGAAAATATCAATTCTACCCAAAGCGATCTACAAAGATAATGCGATCCCAATCTGAATACCAATAGCATTGTTTAACGAGATGGAAAAACTCATCACCAACTTTATATGGAAAGGAAAGAGACCCCAGATAAGCAAAGCATTATTGAAGACAAAGAACAAAGTGGCAGGCCTCCCACTACCTGATCTGAGAACCTACAATACAGCCATGGTAATCAAAACAGCCTGGTAACGGTACAACGACAAACACATAGACCAATGGAACAGAATTGAGAACCCAGATATAAGTCCATCCACCTATGGCCACCTGACTTTGACAAAGGACCAAAGTCCATTAAATGGGGAAAAGACAGTCTTTTTAACAAATTGTGCTGGCGAAACTAGATGTCCATCTGTAAAAAAAACTAAACAGGACCATACCTCACACCATACACAAACACTAACTCAAAATGAATCAAAGACCTAAACATAAAACCTAAAACTATAAAGATCATGGAAGGAAAAATAGGGACAATGCTAGGGGCCCTAATACATAGCAAAGTACAATACAGACCATAACTGTCAATGCACAAACACCAAAATATAAACTAGATAACTGGGAGCTCCTAAAAATTAAACACGCTCATCAAAAGACTTCACCAAAAGAGTGAAGAGAGAACCTACAGACTGGGAAAAAATTTTTGGCTATGACGTATATGACAAGGGTCTAATCTCTAAAATCTATAAAATATTTCAACACCTTAACAAAAAACAAACAATCCAGTTAAAAAATGGGCAAAGGATATGAACAGACACTTCACCAAAGAAGACATTCAGGTGGCTAACAGACACGAGGAAATGCTCGCAATCCCTAGCCATTAGAGAAATGCAAATCAAAATTACAATGAGATACCACCTCACCCAACATTACTGGCACTAATCAAAAAAACAGAAAATAACAAATGTTGGAGAGGTTTCAGGGAGAACAGAACTCTTATGCACTGCTGGTGGGAATGCAAAACGGTATAACCATTTTGGAAAACGATATGGTGCTTCCTTAAAAAGCTAGAAATAGAAATACCATGCGGTCTAGCAATCTAACTCTGAGGAAAATATCCTAGAGAAATAAGAGCCATCACATGAACAGACATATGCACACCCATGTTCACTGCAGCATTATTCAGAATAGCAAAAAGATGGAAACAACTAAGTGCCCATCAACAGATGAATGGCTAAACAAACTGTGGTACATACAATGATAAAGAACAATGATGAATCTGTGAGACATCTCACAAAATGGATGAATCTAGAGGGCATTTTGCTGAGTGAAATAAGTCAGTCACAAAAGGACAAATATTGTTCAAGGCCACTATTATAAAAACTCAAGAAAAGGTTCACACAGAAAAAAAACATTCTTTGATGGTTACAAGGGAGGAGAGGGGTGGGAAGGGGAAATCACTACCTAGATAGTAAACAAATGTTAACTTTGGTGAAGGGAAAGACCACACACAATATAGGAGAAGTCAGCACAACTTGACCAAGGCAAAGTCAGTGACGCTTCCTAGACACATCCAAACACCTTGAGGGACCGAGTTACTGGGGCTGAGGGATGGGGACCTGTCTTGGGGGTCATCTAGGTCACTGGCATAACATGGTCATAAAGAAAATGTTCTACATCCTACTTTGGTGAGTAGCATCTGAGCTCTTCTTAAAAGCTTGCAAGCAGCCATTTAAGACACACCTAAATGGTGAGAGGGACCCCTGTCAGAGCGGTTGGTGATGGTAGCTGGGCACCATCTAGTTCTTCTGGGCTCAGCCTGGTGGAGGCTCTGGGTCATGTGGTCCATTAGTCCTCTGAACTATATTTTCCTTGTGTCTTTGTTTTTTTTTCTTTTCATTTTTCTTTGCTCTGGATGGGATGGGACAAATAGATTTATCTTAGATGGCTGCTTGCAAGCTTTTAAGATGGGAGAAAAATGTAGAACAAAATTCAAATTCACAAAAAAAGACCAGACTTACTGGTCTGACAAAGACGGGAGGAACCCCCAAGACTGGCCCCCAGACACCCTGCTAACTCAGAACTGAAGCCACTCCCAAAGTCCACCTTTCAGCCAAAGATTAGATAGGCCTTAGAAACAATTACACACGGGAGGAACGTGCTTCCTAGTTCAATCAAGTATGGGGGACCAAATAGGCAACACCTGCCCAAAAGCAAAGCTGAGACGGCAGGAAGGGGCAGGAAAACCGGACGAACGGGAGAGCCCAGGGTGGAAGGGCGGAGAGCGCTGACACACCGCAGGGACTGCAAGCGGTGCTACAAAACAACTGGGGTGTCGATTTTGGAATGAGAAACTGATGTGCAGGGTAACCTTTCACCTAAAGCGCAATAAAATTAATAATAATAATAAAACTCCTAGGGAGCAGTTCTAGTCCGACACACATGGTGCTGCCATGAGTCAGAGCCGATTCAATGGCAACTAACAACACCGAAACACAACGGACAGATCACAGTTCTCTCTTCTGCCTCCAGATATCCTGCCAGATGGACAGCAGAGGAAGATTTAGAAATCCACAAAGGCAAAGAACAAGACTGGGGAAGGGCTTGGGGATGAACGCATGATAAGTACATTTAAAACAAACAAACCAAAAAAGAACTCCAGGAAACACAAGAACCTATACAAAAGCATAAAGGTAAACACCGTGTACCCCAGGGCTCGGCTGGAAGAGCATTTGCATGTCAGAAATAGTCTTGTTGATCCAAGCAGTGGCTTGCTTGTCTGCTGGCCATCCCTGTCCCACTAGGATACTTGCCCTTCTGTTACACCCAGCTGTGACATCAAGCGAGAGAGTGGGAACATGCCCACAGTCATGGAAAGGAGGCAAAGGCTCCCTGGATAAAGCTGGCACCTCCCAGGCAGCCGAGGGAGCGTTGCTGGGGCAAGGGGCGGCCCATGGTCCCCTGCGCCCCGAGCATCGCCCTAATTG